GGCTGGTATCGGCCAGTATCGGTATCGGATCGGAAGTCCAAAAACAATATCGGTATCGGATCAGAAGTGCAAAAACCTGGATCAGGACATCTCTAAAATAAACCTAAATATGTCAGATCTGTGAATCGCCGTATAATGCCATCTATGTGGATTGTATCATCCTCCACAGGTGTATTGGGCCAAGCATATGCTGCAGGTCTCTTTACCCGCTGGGCTCACTATGAGCACTAATCTCAATATGGGCAAAAACACAATTTAAGGTCCAATATCAAAAACTACACAAGATGATTCCTCCTGAAACTTCCACACAGCAAAAACACTCTGACTATATTCCTAAGATCAACTCCAAGGGACGGCTGCATGGAGTACAGTTTAGATGCAGACATAAAGGCTGCAACATGATCTGGGTATATTGCTGTCAAACTGTTCACTATGAGAGTAAACAGACTGGGAAGCGCTAGAGGAGGGTCAGTGTGAGGAATCTGTGGGAGCAGAATGTTACTACAGGAATGTTAAAGTCTTAGAAGCTGCTAAGTCTTCATATCTTCATCTGCTCTTGAAGCAGATTTAGTCTACATCAGCTGCATGAGACAGCCCTGTAATAATACAAACTCCAATCCGTATCAGTGGGTGGTCAGCAAGATCTGATGACACAGGATCTCTGGCTATTAAAAACACCCTGATGTTGGAAGTTTGATCCACTTACTGTCAGCATGACTTTGTCTAGTCCAAATCCAGGGATATAGGGGGTCAGTGGTTTAAGGTTTGGAACTCTGTGTCTATGTTTGAGTGTCTTATTTTAGCCCTTTAGTTGCCCGTTTCATAGACAGAGTCATCTTATAAAGACCGCTGGTCAGGGTGGCTGAAAACACTCGGTCAACAACAGTCTGGAAGCCCTGTGGGATTACCATGACTGGCTGACAGTCAGACACAAACAATGCTGCACTTATCACCTGATTTTCAGGTTTGTATTAATGCCATATTGAAAAGCTCTTTTCCTTTCTCTGATGGATCTGAGCTGCTTGATCATCTCTAGGTCAGAATAGTTGGACAGATTAAATATGAACCTGATTATTTTAAGATGAAAACACACTTTTGATGTTTGTTGTATTTGTATAAACATAAAAAAAGGACGATTTTAATCTTTTTGTTGTTTTTCTTTCATCCAGACCACTTTAGAATGGAGGATGCAGGAAATTCTCCACATAAAGACTGATTATAGCAGACAAAGCACCTAAGGGTGGTTCTTCAAAACATTTTTTTTTTATTTAGGAAACCTTTACTGTAATTTTAAAAACAACAAATATTTTAGGATTATTATTATTTTTTTTTTACTTTCTCCATTATCCTGATGGAACCTTTTCTTTCTTCTTCCTTTTCTTTAAATATTTTCCCCATTATATGGGAAATATATTTATATTAATTATACTTCTAAGTATAATAGAGCAAGATTGAATATAATAATTAAGTAAAATGAGTTAAATTAAAACCCATGTAGTAAAATGACACCCTTCCTATACAAACAGTGTAAAATAAGATATAGGAATAAAGTAAAATAATGATCTCAGAATATACAATCAGCAGTATTTACAACTTACAATGCTGCTTTTCTTGTTCTCATAAGCCCAGTGATGCATATTTAATGTGTATTGAGAAAAATGCTTTACATTAATGGCCCATCACTAAGCTGTTTGTGGAATCATTCACCCTTATTTTCTACAATGGGTAGCAGGGCATTAAAAAGCTGAATCATGTTGACATCCATCCTCACTGTGCTGCTTGCTTCCTCGAAGTCGAACCAAAACACATACTTGGTAACCTCATTATTTTAAGGGAAATCTCTCTAACTTACCGTATAATGAACCTGCAGTGACGGGGTGAAAGTCGATCAATTATAAACGGTCAGTATTAATGCAGCGGGTGAATCTAAGACATATCGACTGAGGACATTTTTAAAATGTTTAGATTTGCAAAGGATATATTGGTGTAGCTTTTTTCCCTTCTTTAGGACTCATTAGTTGTATAAATATGCATTTAAAAATGTGCCTACTCGCTGAAAACACGTAGAAAAAATGTATTTACGGGTAAAGAAAAAGGTGTTGCTTCCTTCCTTTGTGTTTACTTGCTTTCAGCTGTGTTGTCAAAGCAGAAACACTAAACTGCCTCCATCTAGATTCTCTGAACCCGACCACAGTCCTATAGTGACCCTTCCCTTTGAGGTCACTTTGACACAGCATCCACCTCTGGTCAATCCAATCCAATCCAATCCAATCCAATCCAATCCAATCCAATCCACTTTATTTATATAGCACGATTTCAATAAACACAAGGTTTCCAAAGTGCTGCACAAAAAAGATAAGATAACTAAAATAAATAAAAGTAAATAAAATAAAATAAAAGCACTGCCCGCACAGGATGAAAAAATGCATGTGTATACACACTAATAACTGCAGATACTGACCCCAATGTGAGATTAGATTTAAGCCATCGGGCAAGAAAAGTGAGGAAAAAAACTCCTATACATAAAAAAGTGAAATGAAACCCAGTGGTTTGTGGGGAAATCATTCTGCAGATCCCTGATGATGGGCATGCTTTGAAACAAGTCATTTTCTTACTGGACTTAAGCAGTTGTTTTATTCATGAGGCTTTGGCGCCCCCTGGTGGAACAAACTGTCCTGCTGAGGTTTCCAAAAAAAAAAAACATGTCCAACAGCTGCATTTATCATCATCCTATTACACCCCTGCAGCTTAGCTTACTTACTTATTAGACAGACATTGGACATTTGTCAAGGTGGTGAAGTTGTTCCTAACAGTCCGTAAGCTTGCCAGAACCTAAAAACAAGCAAACACAAATAATTACAAAGATACGTATGGGGACATGAACTAATCTGGAGAAAAAAGCAAGTTTTGATTCAGTTCTAGGATTGAAAATACTTTATATACAAAAAATAAGTAAGGAATACAAGCTAATAAGTGACATAAATCAATTTTAGTTTTCAGAACACATTTAGAAAGCTTATCCAAAGCAGATTTCACTGGAAGAAGAAAAAAAATCCATGGTTTAGCTTTTGGCCTTGTTATACTACTTCACCTCCACCAGGGGGCAGTAAGGTTAATCTTAAAGAAGTTGGATGTCTTCTGCATCAACCAGCCCTCAGAACTGGAATGCTTGAACATTTTGGGGGTTTTTGCACATTTGCTGACTTTGGATCAGACCTTACCTGAGCGAATGGAGTTACAATCAGATCCTCCGTATGCCTGAAAACAAAAGTGACAAAAGTTTGTAGGTTTCCTCCCAACAGGTTTATAAGACAATGTGCTGCCAAATCAACACCTTACTCACAGTTCTCCAACAATGGATGAATTTCGTGACAGGGACTTTGGTGAGAGGTCGTAATCGCTGTCCGACCGGTAGAGGAAGCTCTCTCTGCGCTGACCGTGACCCGCTAGGTTTGGGTGAAGGACCAGACCTGAACCTGGCGAGGCCTGCGGGTCTGATGGACTGCAACACAACGAGGGACCATTTTCAGCCTCAAAGCTGCAAGAAGAAAGACACAAATAAATTTTTTTTTAAATCTTTTTAATAGAAATGCTTCATCAGAAAACCAAAAAAAAAAACAAAAAAAAAACAAAAACACACCTTGCTAGCTAAATACACTTCATAGTGCAATTAGTATTTTCAGAGACTGAAAATAGATGTAAAAGAAGAGGTTGGAAGACATTTCTAAAAAAAAAAAAAAAAAAACGAGCAAAAATCAAAAGCATGAGAGCTAGGAACAAAGAACCCAACTCAAATATAAAGGTATGGAAAATATCTTCTGCATAAAACTATGTCTTAAAGGAATAGTACACCCAAAACATGATAAGCCTTAATTTTCTACTCACCCCCATGCTGAACAACACTCTGGAGTACTTTTTTGATATCTCAAATGCATCTGGAGATCTGGGAGG